CCCCCCCCCCCCTCCCCCCCCCAACCACAGCTTTCGGCTTACTCTTTCCTGTGCCTGCACGTTGCTTTATTCAACTGCAGGAAAGAGACTGAAATAACTGAGCCCCTTAGTACCACCTCCCCTGTCCTTTATTTCCTGCTTCCTCTTGTCCTTCCTACTGCTTTGGCCTCAGAGGAAGCGTGAGCAGCTTGGAGGAGGCCTGGCTGGAACTTCAGGTAGATGCAGACTCTCGGGTGGTTGTGGCTGCATGTCTGTCACGACACTAAGAAGAATAGTTCAGTGCAGTTACGTGCAGAGCTGGAGCCCTGGCCCACATTCCCACGCATCTGGCTACACCAGGCACTGCCCTCGCATGCCCAGCTCCAAAAGCACTGGCATCTGAATGCTTTATTTTCTTCTCCTGATGGAGTGAGGCATGGTGCTGTGAGTATCGTGGGAGAGCAAGTCATTCATGCCTCTGGATTTCCCGTGGCTGTACCAAGCTAGCTCTGTATCCTCCTCCCTCCACACCATGCTTCAGTACTTCAAAGCAAGGCAGAAACTATCATCTTGCGTATGGCAGAACAGATCTCCTTGGAGAACCCTAATGCCTAAATTCTTATTCATTCCTCTGCAGATGTGATCTGCTTCCTTTCAGTGCTTTCATTTAGGCATAATAGCAGCTCTTGTGCGCCAGGGCAAGGCTGTCATGGTTCTGCATGGTTAATGCATTTCCTTGGCTCTGCTGGCTCTGTGTGCTTGTGGGGTTTGTACCAGGGGATCGTCAGAGACGGCTAGTTTGTGTGAAGCTGGTGCCCAAGCCACAGTGAGGGAACAACCATGTGGATGGGAGTTTGCAGAGTGCAGATGCTCCGTGTAGCTGGGCATGTCCTAGCCATCACCCTGCTGGGAAGCCTCTGGTTGTTACCGCCTGCTACAGCAGCAGAGATGCCTGGGGATTAGAGGTGGGCTGTACTTCATCACATGCGTCCCGGCATCTGGCCATCCAGGCACAGCACACTGGGTTTCATAGTTTCATAGTTTCTAGGGTCGGAAGGGACCTGAGCAGATCATCTAGTCTGACCCCCTGCCATGGCAGGAAGAGCACTGGGGTCAAATGACCCCAGTAAGGTGTTCATCCAACCTCCTCTTAAAAACCCCCAGGGTGGGAGCCTGCACCACCTCACTTGGAAGC